AGGCACCACAACTTTAGCAAGATACTCCCACATTCGTAAGTATTTTATACGAAGGTGTATGACCTATCTAAAGTTCATACGGAATCTTATCCATATTCTTTCTTAACACTTTATTCAACATGTAATTTGCAGAAAGAATAGCTTCTCCCCATATTTTCTGTGGTAATCCAGAACTAATCAACATAGCATTCATCATTTCTTTTAACGTTCGATTCTTACGCTCAGCACTTTCGTTCTGCTGAGGTGAATAAGGTGTAGTAGTTTGGTGAATTATTCTATGTTTAACACAAAATTCACCAAATGGTGATTCATATTCACCACTACGATCAATCCGTAGCATTTTTATTTTCTTGTTAAGTTGATTTTCAACCTCATTCTTATAAAGAATGAATTTATCGATAGTTTCGTCTTTACTTTTAAGCAAGTATATATAACAATATCCTGTGCTATCGTCAACAAAAATAATAAAGTACTTATTGCCGCCTCACGTTTGGACAAATTTCAAGTCGCACATATCACTATGGACTAGTTCCAATGGCTTCGTACTTCTTTCAATACTATGAAACGAAGACCTAGTTAGCTTAGTCTCAACGCAGATTTCACATTTATGATTTGAATCAATTTGAAACCTAGGCAAGTAGTTTAGTTTGCTTAGTCTACGTAATGCATTTTAATTTAAGTGACCTAATCTACCATGCCACATATTAGGAGACTCATGCAAGTAAAAAGAAGGAGTTTTCTCATTATTCAAAATAGTTGGGGCTACAACAATTACATTCAATTTAAACAGGTCATCAGTCATATAACCTTTCCCAACATAAACTCCTATTTTGGTAATCACCAGCTTATCCGCCTCAAAGCCCATACGGAAACCATTCTTGCTCAGAAGAGACCCAGAAACTAGATTCTTGCGAATTTCTGGCACGTACAGCATATTAGTCAGAGTAAGCTCTCCATCAGAGGTCATCTTCAGAATCACCTGGCCTTTACCAAGCACTTCAGAAGTTGCAGAATTTCCTATAAACAACTTTTCACCATTTGTAATTGGTACAAAAGTAGTGAACATGCTCATGTTGGAGCAGACATGACAAGTGGCCCCAGTGTCTAGCCACCACTCCTTAAGGTTAGACCCCACCAGGTTAACCTTACAAATCACCGCCGTAAGGTTTAGGTCAGACATGTCATCTGAGAGATGATCTCTCTCATTTCCAACCATATTAGCATAAGGGCGCTGTTTGTTATCCCTCCGCAGCTGACGGTAGTCTGCTGATCGATGCTCAACTTTGTCACAATTGAAGTACTTTCCATCAAACTGGAACTTAGGCTTCTTTCCTACCCCATCGGCAGGCTTCAATTGGGACCCTTTCGTGCTCTACTTTCTATCTTTCCAATTTTCGTTACCCTGATTGGCTTTAAAGGAATGATCTTTCTTGGTACCAGAACTCTGGCTGTGCTCCAATACATTAGCCTTCTCTGAGTAAGAATTCCCTGACTTACGTTTAGCCAGTTTGTTATCATTCTCAAGCGCAGCTTGATAATTAAATCCTCGAAAGACATCTCTTTCCTCTTATGCTGCATATAGCTTTTGAAAGCTTTCCACTGAGGATGTAGCTTATGAATAGCAATAGCCATCTCTAAATTCTGACATGATCAGACCCTCAGCATGCATTTCTTGCAAAAGCACTTGATACTCCTGTACTTGGCTCACCACTGAACGTGAATCACCCATTTCGAAGTCCATGCACCGACTGACCAAGACTTTCTCAGACCCAACATCCTCGGACTTGTACTTCTTTTCTAAGGACTCCTAAAACTCCTTAACAGACTTCTTTACCACATACACATGACACAGAGAATTCTGTAGGCTATCCAAGACGTAGTTGCAAAAAATCAGCACTTTTCCATGCATCCCAAGCCGCACGCCTATGCATATCAGTGTCGTTTTCAACCATGACAGGGGCATCCTTGGTGAGGAAACGTGCAAGGCCCAAAGTAGTATAATAAAAAATTATCTTATTCTGTCATGTCTTAAAATTAGTACTAGCAAACTTATCCTGTCGAATTGCATGATTCACCGAAAATGGAGTCCGAAACGATGGCAAAGGTACCGAGGCCGCAGCATGTGGTATTGACAAAGGTATTGTGCCAAACTAGATTGTCGAGGCCCCAGCCATAGCCAAAGTGGGATTCACTCCAACATGAGGAATCCCGCTACCAATTGTCCCATCAATGGAAGGAATGTCAGTCGAGGTCTCCACAGGGTTAACAGCGATCCCAAAAGTGTTGCTTCCATTGTTCACATCGTCATTTTTATGTGAGGTCATTTAACCTTAAAGAACGGCAACAAAATGTTTAGAATAATAATGAGTTTATAAACTAGATATAGATTCAAGATCTATGTTATCAATTCGAAGAAAAAAATTAAAAAAATTACGGAATTGAAAAATAAGAGCAAATCAAAATTTCTAACTTTACAATTATTTAAACATGAATTAGAAAATCATTAACCAATGATTAAAATCAATCATTAAAGGAAAAATAAGCAATTATATTCTAATGATGAGGCAATCATGCTAGTAATTGTAAAATATTTAAATAATCATTACTAATAATTTAAAACCATGTTTGTTGATAAAAACCATGCAAAAACCACCTATTTGAAATTATGCAGAGACTGAACTTAGAGACACATTATTATTTTTTCTTCCTTTCTTTTCCTTCCAATCTTGATCAACTCGAAATTTACCTTATTGCACTTTAAACAAACGGTGAACAAAACTGAGGAGAGGAAAAACATGAACAGATGGAAGGAAAAAACAAATTAACACTAATTGAAAAAATTTACAGAAACTAACGAAAAAATTTGATTCACCAAATAGAATTCGATTTAAGCTTATGGGATAATGTAAGAGAATCAAAGTGAATCAAACCAAAATCGAAGGCTCGTGTTTACATGGTTTCCTTAAATCGAATTCGTCGTCTCACCAAGGTGCAAGAGGTTTTGATCGATATTCGATTCCCAAGATACAATCGATTTTCAGTTCACGCTGCACTATATTAACCGCCTACGAACTAGTTGTGTTTATCTCTCAGAGAAATCATAAAAATGAAATTTTAAACCGAAAAGAAAAAAAACTTGTTGCTAGAGAAAGCTTGTATCTCACTTGTTTGAAGTTGTATCTCTCACTTGTATTTCTTCCAACCGAGAGATCCTCTATTTATACCCAGATGAAGAGTGTGGTCATTAATACAATTAACATTGAAGGTCAATTTCTGAACTGAAGAGGAACAACTGAAGTGAAACGGATGAATAATTTCCATAAATTCTGAAACTGATGAAACCGATTTTTATAAATGATGAGACTGATTTTCATTTAATATCATAATTTTCCAACAATAAATTGTGTAATTGTGATTTAGCATGATATTTAATTGTGACATAATCTATATGTGATTTGTTAGTTTGTTTTAGTGTGGATCGTGACTACATTTTTTTTAATGACATTTATATATAAGAATTTATCAGCATGTGACCTATGAATTTGTGTTTATGATTGTGATCAATTATGGGCTGTGAGTTGTGACAGTGTTGACACACTAAAAATGCAGTCCAAATTAAATGGCCCAAAGAACGAAGCCCAGTTGAGAATCCAAGATGAAAGCCCAAACAAATGGTAAGCAGCCAACAAATAAAGGAACGTTGTCGTCCAAGCTTGCAGAACGCCCAGATGTTGAGCGAGTAAAATACCTTATGGACACCCAGAGCGAAGGAGTCGTCGCCCAAATTGCTGGATCGCCCAGAATCCTAACGATGACTAAACTCTGCGGTTATCTAAAAGTCACGGTTTGAGGCAGTTTGAGCACATCACAATTACATCCCACAATTTGAGAAAATTAGTGACAAGCGGTTATGAAGAAAACGTGGTGGTAGGAGTTACAAATGGTAGTTATTGGCCAGTCAGCCACTATAAAAGAAATGGGTAGTTATGAGCAGAATCCGAACGGTCGAGAACTACCCAAGGAGTATAAAAGGAAGAGGAAAGCAATGAAGAAAGCCCCGACAAAAATTTACTCTCAAACAGAGAATATGTAATTTACTTTTCTTTAGATTAACTTTAATTACTTCAATTTCCTTGTACTTGTGTGCTTGCGACCCTTGGAGGCATCTTGTTCGTGTCCAAACTGTAATTTTCATATTCGATAAACACCCATTTTGGGACTTTGTTTCAAGAGGTTTGTCCCTTACACAATCGTCTGATCCCTTTTTAATTATTAGCGATTAACCACGCGAAACAGACAGTAATAAATTATGTTATCTAATTGTGATCTAAGCATATTCCTTCATGTTACAACCTAAATTCATTTTCAATCACTCATTCCGTAGAATGCATAATTTATATCAAATTTTCAGTCATATATTATATTTCATCGTCTTTTATCAAAATTTATTAAAATTTTGATTTTAATAAAAATCGGGGCTTATTGTGGGATTGTAGTTGGGCTGTTTCCTTGTAATTTAGGGCTTGAGTCTGTTACAGTGTCAATCAGAGTGAACCTATTTTTCTTTAAAAGTCTTTGTTGGAGATAGGCCCAAATGGCTTCGATCACAATTTTTATTGGCCCAATCCCTTGCAGGCGCCACGAAAAATCCCCAAATTGTCTTCTTCAAATCCTCCCTTTCGATTTGCTCGCTCGGATTACTGGTAATATTTTTTTTTCCACTGGGTCGATTTTGATTGAACTGTGATTTCTTCTACGGTTCATTTTATTAAAATTTGATTATTCGTTGAGGAGCTCGAAAATTTAGTGCTTTTTAGTAACCTAAAATTTCATACTATTGATGTTGAATCTCTCTCTAGGTTTCAAGAGAGCATAAAACTTAATCAATTAGTATGTTGGCCTTTCTATCTTACTTCATTGTTATGGTCTTGCTTAGGGTTCATGTTTGTATTTTTCTTTATGGATTGCAGGGATCACAGGAGTGATACAGAAGATAAAATATGGCTGAAGAAGGGAGAGTGCATCCTGATTGCAGAAATGCATCGAACCCATATCACGAATGTAGTGAATACTGCTTCAAGATTATTGCTGAAACAAAGAAGAAGATGAACAAAAATGACACGGGTTGGTTTCTTATTTATAATATCCTTGCTTCTTTTGTTTGACATAGTCCTGTATTGATTCTGGTAGTTGAAAATTTGGATCTAGTAACTAATTATATCAATTATGGAATTGAATGATATCATTTATGTTGACGCCACCAATTTCTACAATTACCTGAAACACTGGCACATTAATCGGCTGTGGAATTTTTAATAGCCAACATTTTCTTCCATCTTCTTCGTATTTTGCCTTGCGGCAAGCAGGAGAGGGAGAGAAAGTGTCAAGCTTGGCTGCCATGGGTAGAGAAAGGGGGTTGTGGTGTGAAATTCACCCAAAGACTTCAAACTTATGGCTAGACACATTGCAACCGAAGCAAAATTAGATGATGTGGACCAATAAATAGTTGTTAGCTAATTAATTCTTGGATCTCTGTTCCAAGAAGATAATTCATACACAGATTTGGGATGCATTTTATTTATTGTGAAGTACCTAACAGTTTTCCCTACCCTGTGCCAGGAATGCAAGTTGTTAGTGACAGTGGTGAGGCCAATGCAGTTGCCATTCTGGACCTGGAGGAAAATCATGAAAGAGATGGCAAGGGAGGTGATTGTGAGGTAGAGGCTGGTACTGACGGTGAAGATAACACAGGAAAAGACTTCAAAAATCTTACAGGAAGGCAAAAGAGGTTATTTGAGTTGAGATTGAAAATGGTAAGGGCATATCAGCATTAGAAATAGGATGTCCTTGTTGTGTTGAAAGCATAGATACACATCTAACTTGTGCTCTTCCAGGAATAGATTATTATCCTTCGTGATTTTATGTGTAATACATCATGGCTTGTGAATTCATACATGCAGAATGAGGCAAGAAAAGCCAATCAGACTGCCATGGTTGCCGAGAAGAAAAGAATGGAACCTCCTGAAGAGTCTAGAGGAATTTCTAAGCAAAAATGGCTTGAGGAGAGGAAGAAGAAAATTGGTAGACTTCTTGATGCCAATGGTTTGGATATGAGCAAAGCATATATGCTGGACACGCAAGACATGGCAGAGTCAAAGTATAAAAAATGGGAGAAGGAGCCTGCTCCTGCTGGTTGGGATGGTATGAACTATTATTGCTTCATTGTTGTAATGTTTCTTACTTGTGTAAGAAGTTCTTATTAATAGCTATCGTGCATGGCCACGCCAAAATTATCCGAAATTTGCATTAACCCATTTCTGATATATAATTATAGCTTAATTTGTACTGGACTTTGTTATTTGTAGCTATTGGATAAATGTTTTAAAATTATATGTAAGTGTTCAATATGCCATACTGCAACTGAACTTAATGAGGTCATCAAATGGTTTCACAATTGATAATATCTTATTTTCGAATAAATGGATTACATTGATGTATTGGTAACTTCGAATATTAATGTCCTTCGAAATCACCTGTGGAAATATTCTATCACGAAGTTCTTCAGTTAGAAGTGAATTGCAGCTGGATGTGAATATCTCACACTGTGCGTGCATCACATTTCATACAGACACAACTTAGGTCGGATAACTTGTATGTACAATAATCATCAAATGTTACCTGAAATTTCCTGTACAAACGCTGGTGATGGTAATCCTAGAAGATTTATTGTATGGAATACTTTCCAAATTGGATACTATTTTAGGAAACATAAATTAGGATTTTATTTAATAGATTCTTTAGTATTTTATGAGTTGTTTCTAATCTAAATCTAATAGATTCTCTAGTATTTTATTATTTGTTTCTTGCCTAAACTAGATTAGTTAAAACCCTATATAAAGGGTGCTTATGCATTGTAATAGTTACACTTTGATATGAAATAAATTGATAATATTTTGTTTCTAAATTCCCTCTTCTTCTTTCTTTTCTTCTTCTTTTCTTTTCTGAATCTTGTTCTTGTTCAATTGTGTCCTACGTCAGCTGGACCTTTTGTTCAATACAGAAGTGAATTCGATTTCCATTCTCAGCATATAAGACATAGATGTAAAAGTACGACAGGTTGTTGATTCTTGTTTTGTTCAAAAAATGAACTGAACCAATCTAAATATTTAGATTATATATTTCAGTTGTGATCCTTTCGTCCCTATAAGTCACTTAGATCAGATGTTTGTATGATTTTCACTCTTTCGTATAAGGACGACTAATTCACTCTGTAAAAGTTCTGTTAACATTTGTGACATGAAGTAATTTTTAGTATATTTACAGGTTTTGCGGGCAGATTTACAGATCATATAATTTACATTTGAGTTTATGTTTTTGCAGTTTTTAATCAACGGACACTGTACAATGCATACAAAAAAAGGACAAAGAACATTGAGGTAGATCTCGAAGAGTACAGCAAAATGAAAGAATCTGATCCAGAATTCTACCGAGAGGCTTCAAGCCTTCAATATGGAAAGGTGAGCATGCTTAATATATTTTGATCCTAATTCATTGTAGTGTGATTTTTTTATGGAGATGCTCAATTCTCATGTTATATAAATGGTGGACAGTCTCCAAAGATATCGGAAGAAAAAATTGACAAAATGGTGAAGGAGCTCAAGGACAAGGAGGAGAAGGCGAGGTCCTTTAGCAGACGGAGAAAATACCGTGAAGAAAAGGATATTGACTCCATTAATGATCGCAATGAGCATTTCAATAAGAAGATTGAGCGAGCATTTGGCAAATACACCCTGGAGATCAAGAACAACCTCGAGAGAGGAACTGCTTTGCCAGATTAAGGTGCGGCCATGATACTGTACCATGTAACTATACCTTTTCATCGGGGAATGCAACTTGTGCCTTTTTTTTTTTTTGGTATAAGGCACTTATATTGTGTTTTTGTTGTATTTTGATTCTTATGGAAATTAGGAGGATGCAAAACTGCATCTTGTTTTCTGATGCTTATGGTGTATGATGATGTTTCTATGGTCCTAAAGAAAGAAAAATTCATTGAGCCAGTCCGTACAAATCTTCAAGCATGCAGAAACTTTTTTGGAGAGTACATTGTTGGATATGCAATCACACTTGATGTAAAATGTGACACCCCCTACCCCTTCCCTAACCAACAAAAGAAGAAAGGGAAGTAACAAAGGAAAGCATAGACATTATTATATTCTGCAGTTTTTCATTTCCGTGGGTTGAACCAAAGAATCATCGTGGAACATAATAATGGGTAAAAAATGTTCTCAACTGCTATTTTTATTAAAAAGAACAGCTGAACTGAATATACAAGATACTGAACAACTAATATCTGCCGTTAACTTTTGATCTAATGCAAGCGTTGCGTTGTTGTAATTTGAAGATAATGGTTTTAAGTCGAGGTGCTTGTCTTTGAGTCGAGTTTTATGACTTGGTGAAAACCCGAGCAATCGCCAGAATGCTCATCTTGTATCTTTTTTGAGCGATTGATGCTCGAGTTGCTTCTTAGGTTTGATATTGCATTCGAAGTATTTGACTAAAAAGCCGTATTGATATTTTGTCGATCCCACAACAGGAAATGCTATGCTTATATCAGGATAGGTGATAAGTCCTCACCATATGTTTGCGTCTCCTTAATTACCAAAACTTGTGGATGTCAAGTCCTTGTTCTAAGGGGCTAAGGTATCTGGAATTTCAGTTTTAGTATCTCATAGTTTGTGTAACCATTAACTACATTTATTGTCGACAGCACAATATGCGTAAATAACTCATAAGCTGAGGAAAACAGGATCTAATGTAGTTTTCCAGACATAATAACTGCACCCTGTAAATGACGGAGAGCAACAAGGTTCAGCAGAACAAAAAACAAAAGAAACCATGTATTCCCAAACGGCTGATAAATCAGAGCCTATCACAATATATGCATCTTGCACATTCATCATTCACTCGAATGCCCAAGCATTCTCCCTTCGAACTTCTTCCTCCTCCTCTGGAGTGAAATCATTCTTAATGTTGAACGTCTTCCGAATTTCCTCTGGAGTCCTCCCCTTGATCATATCCGCCACCGTTTGACATGTAAGGTCGAGCAGGCTCTTGATGTTTAGGTAGTTGGCAGCCTTAATGAAAAAATGTAATCGGTCATCAGCAAGTCCAATTTAACCAATAAAAAACACAGAATTGCAAACCTTAATAGCAAAGCTGGTAGCAAATATACCTTACAATTACGGAATGCCTTCAAGCACACAAAAACAATGAAGAGATTATCTAACATAGAATGTCGAACAATTAATAGAATTCCTAGAGCAAAAAATAAGATACCTACCTAAAAAAAACAAAACGGAGAGCAATATGTTGTCAATCATGTGAGGGCATCATCATCACCGCCCAGTAAATTCATAAAGTGGCATTCTTGATAAAATTTCCAAAGGAGCAACTAAACTACCCATTAAAGCAAGTGTACGAGTAAATGCAATTATCGATAGAACAGACAATGCACGGATCTGCTAATGCTGCAGCGTAATTGCCATATAACAAAATTACCCAAATAAATGCTCGTTAGCTCATCACACAGTTATAGTAGCACATACGTCACCGTCACTGTAGTAAATGTATCGCCAACATGTTTTTAGGGCCAGTAAAGTAGCTGAAGATTCTCAATTACGATTTCATAAAATATTTGGAGAATTTCTAAGTAAACTACAGACACAGGTAGTCAAAAGAACCTCCATCACTAATTTATGACTTCAGACTAAGTTATTAACACTCTCAAGGCATCATTGCGTGACATAAATTTCCTCATTGGAATCCAACCACCAATCTAAGGGAAGTGTCATACAACAGGGGGAAACATCAAATATCAATCAGTGCAAAGAGACCACATAACCCCCTGTATTCCCCCGATCCAGTATTGGTCAAAAGATCTTTATCAAATACAAAGCCACTGGGTTTAACAAGCATTATGGCAAACATGACAAAGGAGTATCACAAAGTAAATAGAAGCGGAAAAATAAAACATAATATTTCCAGATAGATGCAAGCTTACAAATAAAAATCATAAATTCATAGTGCAATAAGAACTATCATATCTTCCATCCAATAACCTTGAAACATTATCACATGAAATAGCACACCGTTAAAAACACACACACACACACACAGAGCAGCAGCAGCAAGTGTAAATGAAAACAGAAAACTAAATCAAAAGAAATCAGAGAAGTCAGAGCATTAAATACAAGAATAAATAGAAATAAATCCGACTTAAAATCAAAGCTAATCAATCATAATCATGATAGAACCAGAAACCCTAAGAAAGAACAATGATCGGGGAAAATAGTTACACGACAAATTCGAGGGCCATAATAGTCAAAGACGGGAGAATGGATACCAAGATGATATCAAAAAGAGTGCTTTGATCGACTTTCACAAAGTCAGCATCGAATGCCTTGAGGTCATCGTCAGCTACCCTGTCGGCAGTAGCCGGCGTGCCATCGGTGGAGGCCTTAGCGGCGGCTTCAACATGGCGCTTACAATACTCGATGACTTTGGCCATGATCTTTGAGGTAACGTTGGGGAGAGGTATACTGGTGTCGGCGCAACCATCCTCGATCATGTGTTTGATGGTCTGCGACTCGAGCGCCACCATCTCCTCTACCTCGAACGTCTCGCCGTCGGAACTTTTTAGCACTATCATTTTCTGAGTTGCATCAGTGGATGACATCGTTTCTATTGAGGATCGATTATCGTAGAAAATTCTAAACCTAGGGAATTGGGAATGAAGGGAAGAAACTGTTAAAAAGAATTGACGGTGGAGTGGGCATGGGTAATTAGCACATAGAATCTCCACCTTTCACCCTTTACATTTTCACCTTTATTCTCACCGTGTGCAAAAGGTTTTTTCAACTATTTTCTTAATTAAAAATTGTGAAATGACGGATATATGCTTCTTGTTAAATAAAACGAAAGGAAAAACCAAAATATTTGCAACCATAGTCCTTTTTTTTAAAAATCACAAATGAATCCTAAAAAAATTATTAAAAGGGTAATTGGCACATAATGTTCATATATTTCGCTATTATATCAAAAAATATTGCTACCTTTTATTTTTTTGGACATTTTCACCTTTAGTGTGTGTTTTAGCCACATTATTTTAAAAGAATGTATTATGGAATAGTAGATTGATATAAAATGTGTTGTTGAAAAAGAAAAAAAAGTTATTTACGTGATGAAAAATATTATTTTAAAAGAATGTATTATGGAATAGTAGATTGATATAAAATGTGTGGTTAAAAAAGAAGGAAAAATTATTGACGTGATGAAAAATATTATTTTATGGAAAAATGTGTGGTTAAAAATGAGTAGAAGAATGAATCTCAAATAAATTATTCAAGAATTAGAAATTTTAAAAAATACATATATTTAAATAAGAGGGTATATTTATTATTTCATAGTTTTTTATTGAAAAATTAGATGAAAATGATGGTTAGCGAGATTTAATGTGTAATTAAAGGTGAAAATGTCAAAAAAATAAAAGGTATGGACGATTTTCGCAATAACGGTGAAATGTAGGTACATTATGTACTAATTACCCTTTTAATAATTTATTTGGGATTCATTTGCACTTTTTTTTAAAAAATTGGGACCATGGTTGCAATTAATTTTTTTTTTTTTAAATTAAAAGAAAATGGTATGTTTTAGTCCTTTCACAATTTTTAGGTGAAAAAATAAATGAAAATTACATTTTGCACAATGAAAGATGAAAATAAGGATGAAAATGTAAAAAAAATGAAAGGTACGAACGTTTTCTACAATAACAGTAAAAAATGAGGACGTTATGTGCTAATTACCCGAGTGGGTATCTCTATACGGGGTCGATATTCTAATTTTGAATAAAGTAATTGATGGAAATACTAATTTTGATATATTCAATTGACTAATTATATTTTTATCACAAAATTTTATTTATTTGCATCGCATTTTATTTTTAATGTTTATTTATTTTTACACTCATGTCCTTTACCTTTTTTTTTTAGCTGCGTTCTAGGATTAATTCCTTAAGGATCCGTTTGATTGTAAATGTGGAAAATAAATGGAAAGAAAATAAATTGTAGTGAATTAAATTATTTAGAAATTGTTTTACTGAAAAATGTAGTTAATTGTGTTTGACTGGTATAATTTTTCACTTGAAAAATGTTGAAAATTTGGTATCCGTTTGACTTTATTTTTCATGAAAATTGTCTATTTTCTTTTACCATTGAGTCTAAAATTTGTTTCACTTACCAAAAAAATAATAAATAAATAAAAATTTTAGAAAATTATTATATCGAATACCATTCGTTTGATTTTGTTTTACATGAAAATTGTCAATAAGAGTGATAAGTTTTTTGACCATTGGGTCTATAGTTTTTCATAATTTCCAAAGAAAAAAAAGGTGGAAAATGAAAACCCACCTAAAAGGTGGGAAATCAATTTCAACAAAATCAAAGAAAATGTGCAAGTGTGAGAGAAAGTGAGAAAAAAATTTCCATGGAAAATTCTATTATCAAACAAGGCAAAAGCTAAAAAAATGAAATAGAATTCCTAGTTCTAGAGAAAATTAAGAGTATCAAACATGCCCTAAATGATAATAGAATTTTTCTTAAAATTTCCACGAAATTACTGAACGCAAAAACTGTCCTCGTTAGTCATTTAACTTTAGAAATTAGCACCCCACCCATCATTGCATAAGTGACGCTTGCTAAATTGACACCTAATGGTATGAATTACATGGCACGCATTTGGAAACTATAAATAATTTTTTTCCCTATTAAATCATGTTATAATTAGTTAAAAACTATATAACCAAGCTCATAAAGTTTGTGAGATGATATTTCAAAAAACTTTACATTTGGATAAAATCACGCTTTTAGTATTCATTAAAAAAAAAAACACTCAAATACGCATTGAACAATTTTTGAATAACAAACGGTGACATATCCATATACTCATACTCAACGTCATCTAATCCTTCCAATTTTAAAGTGTCGTTTATGCAATAATGGATGAGATACTAATTTTCAAAATTAAGTGACTAATGGAGTCAATTTTTAAATTCAGTGATCCCGTGGGAAGCCCAGCATTCTATCTCAATCATCATCAATTAGCACATGATTTGGAATTTCTATCAAAATATATTACTAACGTGCATTGAAATGAGAGATATATTTCGTCAAATTTTTATATTTATTATTTATTTTGATTATTGCAAAATATGAGAGTTATATAAGTTCGTTTAGTCCTCTGAACAAATTTTTTGGACGAAAATTATTGTAAAATACCTGTCGTGTAAATTAATATTAATAAAATATTGATGACGAGAACTTGACAAAAATAAAAAATATATAAAAAAATCGAAGAATAAGTGCGGAAATGATCAAAAGCTAGGGACACCTGTTTACCATACATTCTCTCATCAATCACTATTTCAAAAATTCTATTCTCCAAAAAATGGTTGTCAAACACTGAGTAATAAAAATGGTTAGCCCCTATTTGATGCACATTTTGAGTTCAAGAATGCATTTTTTTTGTTTGATGGGATGTGAAATATATGGTTGAAAATAAAGGAAAAGTTAATGACGTGATGAAAAATATTATTTTATTGATAAATATGTGGTTAAAAATGAATAGAATAACAAGAATAAAAAAAATAATTGCTGCATTTTGAAAAAGTATCTCATTCTCCGAAGGGAAAGGGGTAAGAATAACGCTACACCAGCATAATTCTCTAAACTTTCACCAACAACCTTAATTCTTCTCTTCTACCTCGATTGTCCATAGTTGACTCTGCCCTCAAACTCCTTTTTTCTTCTTATTTACCGTCGCTTCCACACCTCCAGTCACTGCGTGTAACCTGCAAGCTCCATAACCGGTCTTATGTTTCCTCGAAACCATACGATAATTCTTCTTCTGCGGACCTGACTGATGGGTCGAACCCCAAACCACATTTTCTCAAACGAATCGCCCAAACACTTTCTGATCAACAAAAGGTATTTACTTTACGGAAATTTTGTTTTTCTTTTTATATTTTTGCGATAGAATGAGTGAATCAAGTAATTTCAATCCTATACTGCCTTAGTTTATAGTGAAGTTTTCTTGCATTCAATCGATACGGAATCATTTTTCTATCGTTTTCAAGTGATTACTGGACTAGATGTGCAACTTCTAGTTTTCTGCCAAACAAGCAAAATATTTATTTTCATTTAAGATTTGTTTCTGTAGTTGTTGGCTCAATGCATTATGTGCTTGGATGCTTCTGCGAATCACATCAATCTTCGTTAGTAATTTGTTTTTTAAGTATTTTCCATGGCATTAATAAGTGGTGGAATGCTTCTATGAATTGAATTTTTCAATTGAAAATAAATGTGAAGCACGATTGTAGCTGTAGATTACTTATTCTTCTGAAGGGAATATATGCTCTGAAGCACGATTGTAGCTGTAGAGTACTTATTCTTCTGAAGGGAATATATGCTCTGAAGCACGATTGTAGCTGTAGAGTACTTATTCTTCTGAGGGAAATATATGCAATTAAATGTAACTGTTATACCCTACGTCCAATCAATTTTGGATATAAACACTTTTAATATATATATATATACAGAAATGATCTAATGAGCACCGGTGCTCATCTTATCCTAAGCACCGATGAGTTGGCACATTGAGGTTCACTTAAAATTTCAGGCACATTGAGGTTCCCTTAAAATTTTCAATATACACATTTAACTCCAACCCATTTAATGTATTATTTATCTCCAA